TTGGTAAATTTAAAAATTGACTTATATTGAGAAATTAACACCTTCGTCCACCTTACTTACCCGATTGGATGGTTAGGTGTTAGCTCGTCACTCGCGGGAGGGGTGGCTTGGAACGAGTGCTGTTACTTGGAGCCAGGTTGAGATTCCTACGGTATCTTAAGCTGAGCACACACCCCGTCCCCCCGCCGAGAGCTAACCCTTCACACCAACTTTGCTGGTGGATAGAAACGCAAATGAAGGGAGTAAACCAAAGGAGAAAGAAAGAAATTTACTAATAGCACTTTGCCACAAGCTGCTGTTGTCGACGTTATCGCTCGTTCGCCGACGTGTTGTTAATGCCCTCTGCGGGCTCTGCTCCGCACCTTGCCTCCACTTGCCCCTCCCATTCGGTTACGTGGTTGCCTGACGTCACTGACCGGTTTCCTCGTTGTTAACCTTGGTTATTGCATAACTCCATTTAACACCTTCGTCCACCTTACTTTAATACCCGATTGGATGGTTAGGTGTTAGCTCTTCACTCGCGTGAGGGGTGGCTTGGAACGAGTGCTGTTACTTGGAGCCAGGTTGAGATCCCTACGGTATCTTAAGCTGAGCATGCAAGGGTGATGTGAAACATTACCCCTCCAAGTAACTACCCCTGATTCAGCCTTCTTCAGGGGCGAGCTAGCAAGAACGGTGATCGTTATCACGATTGAGCCGACTGTGCAGCGGATGTTGTTACCAGCCAACATGGTAGCACAACCTTAACCCAAAAACGCTGCACTTCTTATCACGCTTCGTTGTAAGGCAATGCCTGCCATGTGTTGCTCTGGACGTTGTTCCCAGCTTCAATGGGAGCACAACGAGGCCGAGCCAACCTTGGCGCTGAATCCCCTCGCCACCCTCTGGGGAGAGGACACGCCTGCGCCGACATGAGCCTGGACGTTGTTACCAGCTGAGATGGTAGCACAACGTGTAGCACGATAGCGCCCTGTGGGGTTGCATTCCCGCCCCGACTAAATGGTAACGCGAAAAATGGTACCGACTCGTGCGAGGACGTTTTTGCCAGCTGAAATTTCAGCACAACGTTCGTCCTCGCCCATCCTTTGGGCTGACTCTTCCCGAGGTGGGGGAAGCACCGCATGTATAGGTGTGATAACTGACATACCAGGCCCGTCCCAGGCGGCCGGACAAAATGAGGAAAAGCGATAAACCCCAAGATCTTTTATTGTGACTGGCAACCAAACTTATATACACGTTGTCTTTTTTTTGGTTGTTTTTTTGTTGTTTTTTTGTTTATTTTCGTTTTGTTTTTCTTTTTTCTTTTGTCTAAAACCATAGTTTACGCACCGAGACGAGCTGCTACGCTGTCGACTACACTCGGCGGAGCTCTAATGTACACTTGGTACGCGTCGCTTAGCCACCTGCTCATCGTCTTAATCAGATGGTCCGGAACGCCGACCATAACGGCTGTAGTCGCCGCACCAATGCGGAAGCTGTGGCCCGAAAAATTACCATCCAAACCTAGGCGTGCGAGAGCATCGCGCGTCCACGACACGAGGTGATTTCGGGATAGAAGAGTGCCGTTCTCGAACACGAAGAGCGGGCCTGGAGAGCTGCCCCGGAGCTGGAGGAAGTGGACCACAGCATGCACAGCACAGATCGGGGTGTTCGTACGGCCCAGTCGCAATGTATGTCCTCTACGAAATTGATCCGTTTTTGAAGCTTTGATGCGTAGAAACAGAACCGACGGATTCACTCGCTGGTCCACCGATATATCCGACAACGACAAATGGACTGCAGGGTCGTAGGTACCGGTCGTAGTAAACTCGCCCGAATGCAGAAAAGCGAAGAACCCGGTACAGCACGCCGCCCAAAACAATGCGTCCCGATAGTTGCGCAGGTCAAGCAGCGAGTATATCCGACGAAGAATGGAGGCTGTTATCGGTAAACGCGGCCGACTGGCGAGACCTTGAGTACGTTTTATCCCGTGAAGAACCTGTTCCAATCGGAGACAATTAGAGAGAGGTTTCCGAAGCCGCTTTCGACATGTAAGGAACGAACTCCTGACAGATACACCTTTATCGAGCTCGCCTTGAGGGAGGAAGACAGCGCGGTTACAAACAGGATTAAGGTCCACTCGCTCGCTGGGAGAGGATAACCCGACTCGTGAAGTTCCCCTCTCCAGTAGCAGAATTCGAGAAAACGGCGTTGGGCCGCACTGTCTGTTGGCCGGGTCGATTTGGCTAAGCCGTTGATAAGCAGGGCGGTAGCTTTCTCCCTCAAAGATTTGAGGTCAGTTTCGCTTGCAATTCTGGTGGAATCGAACAAGGGACCTTGTGCGCCTCGGTAGCCAGGCGGAAGAAATCCTGAAAGTGGAATCGAGATAAAGCATCAGCGATTGAATTTTCTCTACCAGGTAAATGCACTGCGGAAATGCGAAAATCGTGCGTGGCTGCCACAAGGAAGAGCTCCCGGACTAAGACCATGATCGTATCGTCTTTGCAGGCACCAGACGTAATGATTTGCACCACACTCTGATTATCGCAGTGGAAGAGCACGCGCTGATGACGCCAGTTGTGACCCCACAGGTGACATGCAATAACAATTGGGTACAACTCCTTGTATGCCATACCGAAATGCAGTTGCCCCGGTAACCACGCTGCTGAGAACCATTCCTGGCGATAAAACCCGCCGAAGCCTTTGTTACCGGATGCGTCCGTCGCGAGTTCGAAGTCCATTCCGGAAGGTCGAAAAACGAAATGCCATTCCACGATGGTAAAAACGAGTCCCACCATTGCAAGTCCAGGCGCGCTTGTTTGGTTAAACGAATAAACTTTTGGTGCGGCTTAGCTGTGCGAAGCAGACTGATCAGACGTTGGATAAAAGTCCGGCCATGTACGACGACCCCGCATGCATGATTAAGCTTACCGACTAGCGATTCCATCTGTTTACGAGTGCAAAACTTCTTCCCCGCCCATTGCGTAATAAGCATTTGTAGCTCCGATAGTTTTTCGCTAGGGAGGCGCGCGGTCTTGTTATCGGAATCTAGCTCAATACCCAGAAAAGTTAAGCACGTAGTTGGCCCCTCGCACTTATCCGGGGCCAGCGGCACACCAAGTTCACGCGCAGCATCCTGAATGGCGCGAATCGAATCTTCACAGGTTGGTGTCCCTGCCGGACCGAGAGTAAAATAATCATCAAGGTAGTGGAGCACATCTACTACACCGTATTGGTGTTGCAAAATCCATTCAAAGAGCTCCGCTAACGTATTAAAAATCCCGGGTGCAGACCGAAGACCAAAATGTAAAGCTAAATCAATGAAATATTTATCGCGCCACCGCATTCCCAAGAAATGACGATCGTTCGGATGAATTGGGACAATACGGTACGCCTTTTGAATATCTACCTTCGCCATTAGCGCACCCCTGCCGGTTTTAATTATGAACTGAATAGCGCCGGTCCCAAACTGAACTATAACTGACCGGAAAATCGAGTTTTGATATGCCGTCATTGACGCTGTGATCAAGCGGGAACGATAAGTCTAATATTAAACGCCACGAGTCCGGGTCTATTTTTCTTGGGAATCACTCCAAACCGACTGACATGCAAATTTGGCAACGGTGGCGCGTCGAAAGGTCCGACCACTCGGTGAGCCTGAATTTCACCCTCGAGGTACTTGTCAATCACCTCAGGGTGTGCCAGTGCTGACCAACAGTTGTCATCCGCTGACCGTAATCGTACAAGCTCCGAATTAAAACCGATCACTGACCGTGAACAGTTCTTTATGAAGAACAAATGTTGCGCTCAATTAACTGAAGTATTTCCGGAACTCAAGACAGTTAAATACGATATGAGATCTGCGGACAAATATAATAATTATATTTGTAAAACAAATAGATTTAAAAAATCCTTTTTACCTCAAGTGATGCTACAACAAAGTAAATTTAGCCAATGATAATTTTTAACATTTCCTATTTAAGAATCTCTTTTGCAATATAGTAAGTAATAAGTAATTTTAAAAGTAAATACTTACTATTTTTACCATTTTTACTATGTAACATCTTATTATACCTATCCTGTTTTGAACCTTTGTAATTTAACCGTTTAAGGTTACAAAAAAGTGTTCATTTTAATAAATCTTTAAATCTTTAATGAAACCAGCCCATGCCACCGAACCGATTCGATGTGCGAATTATTAGCGCCATGTGGGAGCCAGTGCGAGCGCGCGTGGGGAAAAAGCTGGTGAGGACGATCGTGTAACTATTAAAGCATTCCACCCATGTAAGAATGTCCGAGATGTCCCGTTTTTTCCCTGGTTGTGGCTTAGTAACAATTTGGACACCCACTATAGAAAAGGAGGGCAACTCGTTTGGCGGCTCTTCTAGATTCTCAGGAATCAGTTCTGACAAGTCAATAAATTTGTGCGACACGATCTTTTTCACCAGCTTGGCCGGGATTGGTGACCGGCCAGGACCGAGGACAAAGGCGCTTTCGGGGCTAGCATTATACAACGCCCAGACCGTGTTAGGCCGATTTAACTGTTCGACAGTTTGGTTACCCACAACAGAATTTATGATCGATTGGTTGTTGGTTGGGGGACCAGTGTGTGCACCGTATCCTGATTAGTTGGGATGAATGACGGGACATTCAACATACCTTGACTTGGATCTGTCGCTGGGACACTTCAAAAAGTGCGCGCCGGGTCTCCGAGCTGCTCTAGTTGCTGGGCCCGTTCTACAGGCCCTCTTGCCTCGGTAAGCACTTCATTCACTAAGGATTTAAAGCCACTGACAAACTCTGCTGATTTAACAGCAGCTTCCCATGAAACGCCCGTGGTCGCCGGTTTGTCTGAACTAGGCGCTTGAGCTCCTTTGCCTTTGAGAAATTCAAAGAAACTCAACTTTTAAGAAATTCAAAAAAGTTGTCCACATGTCCGGTTGTCCGCATGCCCGTTTGCCGTCGGTCCCGTTGTCCGCGTTTTCCACCTAACCCACTCAGCTGTTGCATAACTTGCATTATTTGTGAATGGCGTGTTTACGGCTGCCTCCGCTTATTTGTTTCGTATTCCTTGGTATTTACTGTGTGTTTTTTCAAGTCAGAGCTACGAATACATGTAACCGTGACAGTGATTGTTCTTCATCCTTTTGTTGTGAGAGAAAATATCCCGAAGACAGCATATGTAAGTCAGATTGTATTGGGGAGACTTGTTCCCTAAACAGCGATTGTGCGCCAAAGGAAAATTGTTGTCGTGGAATATGTCTTTCAGACTGCTCGGGGAAATATTGTAGTTCGACATTTCACTGTGCGAAAGACCAATTTTGTTGCAATGGCGTTTGTCGTATGAACTGTCTGGGAGAACATTGTAGTTCGACATATCACTGTGCGAAAGACGAATTTTGTTGCAATGGCGTTTGTCGTATGAATTGTCTGGGAGAACATTGTAATTCGACAAATCACTGTGCGAAAGACGAATTTTGTTGCAATGGCGTTTGTCGTATGAATTGTCTGGGAGAACATTGTAGTTCGACATATCACTGTGCGAAAGGCGAATTTTGTTGCAATGGCATTTGTCGTATGAACTGTCTGGGAGAACATTGTAATTCGACAAATCACTGTGCGAAAGGCGAATTTTGTTGCAATAGAAATTGTAGTTCGAATTGTATCGGGGAATCGTGTGTTTGGGATAGCGACTGTGCCACCGGAGAATGTTGTGATCCCGACAACAAGACATGTACAACAAGAGTTTGTAAGGTCACTAGTACCTCGACTGGTACTAACGTGGGAAAACGTTGTAGTTCGACATATCACTGTGCGGAAAGCGAATTGTGTTGCAATGGCGTTTGTCGTATGAACTGTCTGGGAGAACATTGTAGTTCCACTAATGACTGTGCGGAAGGCGAATTTTGTTGCAATGGAAATTGTAGTTCGAATTGTATCGGGGAATCGTGTGTTTGGGATAGAGACTGTGCCACCGGAGAATGTTGTGATCCTGACAACAAGACATGTACAACAAGAGTTTGTAAAGTCACTAATACCTCGACTAGTACTAACGTTAAAGGGCTCGATGGATTGACCGTGGCGCTAATCGTCATCGGTGTTATCGGCTTTTTGGCAATAATAATTTTAATATTCGTCAAATGTCCGGTTCATCGCGTTATGGTGACGCAACCCAGAACTAGAAGAACTAAAGTCGTTAGAACCCAACAACAAGACCAACAACAACAAGACCAACTGTTGGAAATGAGTCCACGAAACTCTCAACCTTATCCACCAAAACCGCACATACCATATGAACCTCAAGGCATGGCTTAACCACCACCGGGCACAGCTTATACTCCAACAACAATCCCATCAAAAACAGAAGAAGCGAAGCAATACTAGGAAGTCACTAACTTAGCTTCCTAATTCTACGCTAGCTTTTCACAGACGTACATGCAACGGGCTACATGGGTAAAATTATTTAAGGTCTTGTATCTTTTGCAGGGCCGTAGCTAGAAGCTTAACTGGAGGGTGTATATATTCATATATTCGTCCTATGCCCGACTGATTTCTTTTGTACGCTATTAATTGTTCCTGCGGTATATATATATATATATATATATATATATATATATATATATATATATATATATATATATATATATATATATATATATATATATATATATACACCCCCCCCCCCAATTAAGCAGTATAGCTACGGCCCTGATTCTTTGTGCGTGTGTGGACTTTTATATCCTACTTAATAGTGAAACTATGTTTAAAACATTTGTGCCACAGTGTTAAAAATTATTTGATTGTATCTGAATCAGCAACCATATTGAGTAAACCTGTTAATTACTGAATTTTCTGTCTCGAATTTAGCATAATGTAATAAAACTAAATATATTTTAATGTTAGTATTAAAAGTGTTAACCAGAATTTTGCATCGTCTCAAATATAGTGTCAATATTTCACAGGAAGTATGGCGGATATCTCATTTTACATGCTACATTCATTTAAAGAAACGCGCTTCTCGACCAATCAGCATACGCGTACTATAAACATTATATTATAAAAATAAATGTGACTGCCCTTCGTTTCGATTTTGCCATGTATAGACATTAAATATTAATTCTGATAGCGGTTGAAAATATCACAAAAGAAAGAATGATGCGAATAATAATATATCTCACATTATTTTAACAAGTTTAATTAGCATATCAGTAGTTGTGGGAATAACAGGGAGGAATTCCATTTTAAACTAACCGCTATATTTGTTTACATTTTTTATAGACGAACTGACGAAGCAATCCGAATGCCTAAGGTTTAATACTTCATGTAAAATGATATATATTGTACTTTGTCAAAATTTTACTGAGAATGTAAACAAATTTACTGATTGGCCCCTGTTTGTGGGAATACGTTTGTGACTTGAACAACAGTTCATTCTTATGCACTTTGCATATAGAAATAAATTATTTACCAATATGATATTGTTATGAAGTATGAACGACTAACATTTGATTACTGTCTTTTTCACCCTGCCAGCCACAACCAAACATAGCTATATATGCCTAGCTTTTTCTAGATTTTTGTCGTGGGCTTGGCCCGACCATGATCACTTCAAGGTCACTTGTTACCATGACAAATTGAAGGCTGTACCAAATAAAAAAACGAGAATATTAATGGCAAGAATGCTCACAGCGCCGATTGCATAAATAAATATACTAAATACTGTATGCCATATAATAAATCCTTTATTAACCGAATACGTTCGGTCCGTACTGGAAAAATATCAGGGACCGGTTGTATGAAAGCCGGATAGCGCTATCCACCGGATAGTGATTTTTTCAATCGCTTCAAGATCGCCGGTAATTTCCAACAACTTTGATTAAGTCTTAATATTCCTAAATCGAGGATCCTCTTTATTAATTGTTGCTCCCAAGCTTAAATTTTATCGCTTTTTGAGCATTTTTAGAACGGTTGAAAAAAAAAATGACTCTCCGGTGGATAGCGCTATCCGGCTTTCATACAACAGGCCCCAGACCTCGGTCTTTTATGCATGGACCTCGCTATCGCTCAGTCCGTACTGTCAAGACCTCGGTCTGATATTTCTAGTACGGACCTCAAATTCGGTTAATAAGTGGTATATAATAATTATTTATTATAACTCATCCCTTTATAGCGAAATTTTAAATGTCTTGAGTTTAATTTCGTTTGTTATTAAAAAAATATACACCGCCGTTATATTTATGGTACTTTTAAATTCGTGAACATCCAGTCTGGAAATAAAGTTGAGCTTCTTTTTGCATTTTGCAGATCGAATATGATTTAATTTTATGATCAAATACATTTCGCACGTCGTACGTAGTGTACTCCGTAGTGTTTTCACAACTCAACTATGCAATTTCGCCCCACTACGTTCGTACTCATTCCAGGGCTTCCCAGGGCTTCGGGTGCAGGAAACACGCGGCCAGGGCAGTCCGTTCTCTACAGGTGTCCCAAAAAAATGCCCCCCTATACAAATCATTCTTGAGCGTTATTGTACCTATGGGAATTGAATTGAATTGTACATAAACGGTGCAAGTAATTTATTCGTCAAAGTAATTAATCGCGATGATGGAAGCAAGCAAAACGATTTTACAAATGAATGGTTTTCTGCTTTTTTTACATGAATTAACTGATTTAGCCTTTACAAAAAGCTATGGGCCATGCCCTTCAACGTGTCCCCCATTTCGTTCGACACAAATATGTTTTGTGCATGGCGTACGAATAATTTCAGGCTGCTGCCGTAAAACATTAAATTCCTCGATTATTCTCTGTCGCAGCTCATCGATGTTCTGGGGTGGAGTGACAAACACTTTATTCTTAAGATATCCTCACATAAAAAAATCACATGGGGTTAAATCTGGCGAGCGAGGGGGCCATTCCACATTATGTTGCAGCGCTATCACACGATTCTGCCCGAAAACTTCATTGAGGCGATCTTGAACTGCAACCAGAGGATGTGCTGGAGCGCCGTCCTGCGCCCTACAGAGCCCTCGAAACATTCCTTCCCAATGTTGATTGTTGAAATGAATGGCAAGTTGAGGAAAAGCAAATTCATTGAGCATCTGAAGATATGTGAGGCCGTCCACATTTTGGTCAAAAGAGTAAGGGCCTAAAATCACGCCATTACCGCAAAGTGCTGCCCAGATAGTAAGCTTTACACGGGTGTTTGTTGCGGTTTAAGCTTGTTCCCGTGTTTTGATACTTACGAGCGTTTCTCCTAATTGTCTTTTTACAAGGGGGATTCCGAGTGGGAAATTGGACTCTAAACCTGTTTTGCACTTCGGTTACGCTTTGGGTTAACGTGTAATTTGTTACGATAAATACTCGCTGCTGGGATGTTAGTTGAACCATTTTAAGCCATTCTTACTGGAATTAGTAATCAATTTGTAATTTCAAATTTTTGTGTTGCTGTTCGGTTTAGAAACTATTCTAAATTCCCAGAGGTATAATACCGCGCGTTCAACAAAAGAAGAGTAATTTGTATAGGGGGACATTTTTTTGGGACACCCTGTATAGCCCCCCAATTTTTTTTAGTCCCTAATGCCAATGGACTACGGTTGACTTGTTTTAGACAAATGCTTGCAAATACTAAATATTTGTCATTTTAAATTCATTTCGGATGATTTTATAAGCGAAGGCCTCGTGTTTCGAGAGTTTCGAACCTTAGAAGCCTCACCCCATGTTGATAAAACCATTCTCCACAAGTAACGTCGCGTTGTCAGTTGTGTTCAGTGGCGTAGCCAGCCCAAAAATTTAGTCATGCTATACTAATATTTTGGTGTTCCTTGACTGTGAAAACAATGAATTTCTAAAGAAATGAATAATGATAATTGTTCAAGAGGATTCGCATCAACACTCCATTTTCGAACGATTTATTTTACTAACAAAATATCGACGTCTTACACTTTAACTAAAACCACTATCGGAGGATTCTAACTAATTTTTATGTTGTTTTTCTGTTTTAAGTCGTTGCCTAATCATAAATACGCATTAAATACCCTTTTTAAAACCTACTTGAACAAAGCTAATTTCCGTAAGTGTTTTTCTTAATATTTAAATCCTAGCGTTCTTCTGAACAATAAATACATACATAGCATAATAAATAAATACATAGCATGACCAAATCGTCAGGCTGCGCTACGCCACTGGTTGTGTTACCACGTTCTTCGAATCATTCTGCTCTTATGCAGACAGAACAATACGTTTTCTATGACAAGAAGCCTTTTTCAAAAGTTAGTCATGCCTGCTTTTTAATAAGGAAAAATGAGCGTGTGTACGGTCGTCAAGAAAAACTTGACAAGCAATAACGTAGTAGGAAACAGCGCAGCAATATCTTCGAGACAAACGAGCGGGTTTTTTGAAGTTTAATCATTTTTGTTTGTTTTAAGATTCGGTCGTATACTCATTTTATCATGGCTCAGTCATATATTATCGTAAAATATACTCATACTAGGAATACATGCATGCAGCAACCCCTCGCTATTTCAAACGAAGCAAAATATTTCCTCAGCTAGCCAGACCTAACCTTCAATGTTATGAAATGTCCTAAATGTAAAGCCGATAGCTGATGTTTCAAATATTTCGGAAACAAACACAGTCGTAAAGGTGAAGTGAAATCACCCGTTTTCCTGCTGCTTTCCGTTGCATTAACTTATAGACTTTCACAGTTTAAGTGAGAGTTAATACTTCATTATAGCGAAACCTTCAAAACATCAGAACAGCCCAAATAATATAAATAACCAAGCAGTGAACGTCGAATGTTGTTTTTCGATGATCAAATTCACGCAGTGATTGCAGTCGAGTATATATAAACCTTTAAAGTGATATTTGTTATATTAAAACTCCGAATTACACTTTTAAGAACTCTTTTGGAAGTTAAAACGATGATGTAAAGCCTTAAATAGTCGGTCACGTCTTCGCAAAACCGAACAAAACGACATACTGCACCAAGGTCATAAAATGTATTCGTACAGCAAACACAAAATAAACCTCGAAATAAACAAAATACACTCCTACCATTTCAAGGATTATAATCGAGTTGTTCCTTTTCACCGCTAATTCCTCCAGTTCTGATAATATTTTAAACTTTTTGTTTTCGGAGCCTCACTGTGACAAAAAATCATTCAAAGAAGATTCAAAATCTATACTTATATATACTTATGCACTCACGGCGAATAATTGAAATTCATAGACCGGTGGATGTCGAGGTGCAAAGAGTGACTGAGCATTTAAGAAGACTTTGGCATCAGATACCTTGAGGGTAGGGATTTATTTGTGGGCTTGCAAGGTTTTATATTGAAGCCTTTGTAATGATATACGTATCAGGAAATAATGAACAGATATGAATATCAAATGGAAGACGCTTATATCATGCATGTCTAAAGTGTGCTACGCAAAACTGCGCTAAGAATATTACTGCATTCACTCTTTCCAGCGCGAGATATAACTATACAGCATTCATACAACATTTTAGCTATAATACTGAGGTCATGCAGGCATGAGTTAGCTTAAAGAAAGTCAATGCGTTTGTATCGTGTCTAAAGTGAACGTTTTATACGTAAAATCGCGCTAAGAATTACATCCTTTACGAATTCCAGCGCGATGAGAGCACATGTGAGAGTTTATAGACTTCTTTTTAGACTACCCGTATATATAGAGAGTGAAATACTGGGGAATACGCCGCTTTTCACCTAGTGATTTTACAGTATAAACGATATGCGCATATAAACATACACGATATAATGCATTTACATAAATATATGAATTTACGTTCGTTTAACGCCTTCGGCGAATGTTAACTACAGTGAGCATTCGTCAATTCGAGCGTAGCGGATTCCCTTCACCGGTCACACTTGAAAAATTTCTTTCGATCGAAAAATTCCGCCCAGTGGAAAACCAGCTTAATCCTGTTTAACCCTGTTTCGCATTAAATTTCAATTCGCATAAAAATTAAGTTAAGTATAGAAGCATGACTTAATGCATGCACGACCAGCCCAGTTATATATAAATGCAAGTGAACCCAATATATTACAAGTAACGATAACCAGCTGCTTTGCCATGTCGAACGCCGAAGAAACTATCAATTACCCGGAATCATTTTCCTGCGAGGAAATGTTAGCCAAAGCAAAATGGTATCACGAGGACCTTCAGAAAGGAGGCTGGCGTGAAATATATAACGAGCGTGATAAAGCACAATTTTGGATAAAGAACTTCCCTGGGGAAGAAGTACGTACAAAAGTTCTGTTCAAATATCAACTAGCATTGTCAGTTCAACAATTTAGTGAGGTTTCGAGCCCTAAAAAGCTGGAGTTTCGCGTTCAATGGGACAAAGCGTTCTTCGGCAATGAACTGCTGGAAGAATATCCTGATGGCGGGGGGTACTTGGTGTGTTTTAGAACCAAAATGCCATGGCCTCTTTGTGATCGAGAGTTTTTGACTTTCACAACCGAAGCTATAGAAGTGAAGTGGTATGATAAACAAGCGTATCTCATCCCGTATATGAACGCTTTACACAAGTCCAAACCAGCAAACGAAGGGCCATATGTAAGAGTAACAAACGGCGGTCAGTTTGTAATTGCAACGGCAAACGAGAGCGATCCTGATCACAGCTGTACCATATTTGGTTTATCGCACAATCTATACAACGGCAATATGCCTTCAAAAGGTATAACATGGCTTCTCGCTCGCGCCGTGCCCAAAGCCTTTCTCAACTTCTATGGAAGTATGCTCGAAGGACATAAAAGATTTTTTGCTGATAAGTCATAAATATATAGGTTAATAATTAATGCTTTTAGCGAAAGGAATGTTTTACCTCTTGAGTCTTTTAAACAGTATTAATACAAGTGTGCTCATGACGGATTTGCATAGGTAGTCACCAAAACTGTCACGACATCAAGGATAGCCAAGTCAAAGCGTAATTTAATCTTAGAAAGATGATAGCGTGATTGTTTTAATATGATTTGCCAAGTTCTGGGGACAGAGTAGATGTAGTAGTGGTAGTTTATTGCAAATAGTTTAAAACGGCCCATTGCATGGAAAGCAGAAACAGCTGAAGGGCTTCCGTTTAACATATTTTCTGATAAATAAATAACAAATATCCCATGCATATAACAACGCCTCACACACGTCCAAACCAGCAAACGAAGGGCCATATGTAAGAGCGACAAACGGCTGCTGAAATGCTGATAGGAATCAAGGAGTGAAAGAAAGATATATGAATTTTTAAAAAATTACATGCTGCATGCATGCATCCTTTTAGAGAGAGGAATTCATACATGTGTGTTCAAGAACACTGCTAAAAATAACCACTTTGTTTTGTAATGCAAATTAGTGCACTAGTGCTGGATCCACCCCTGAGAAGTAGGTAAACTGATGTTGTGAAACTTGTGATCGCATGAATCTGTTATTCTGTAAACGGTGACCACCTTACGTACGGATTACGGGTGTATAAAAAACCGCAACCTACGTATATTGCAAAGATTTGATCTTTAAGCAGCGTACGCAGGTGCTGACATAACCGCCTAGCCTGCATGACAGGCGGTCCCTAAATTTGGGCTAGGCGACGACGGCGAAAGATCGCATACCGGGTTTCCTATGTATTTTAGAAATCTCATCCACTGGTGCTAAAAACCCCGTCGATGAAAACGTTTCAGAAGTGGCCAGGTCTCTACCGCAATATATTTATACGATCGCGGAGGGTGTATACCTATTTACATTGAGAATTTCGATCAACTATTGAGACTTTCATACTTGAGATTCTCATGATCATATATTTTCAATGCCAGGCAAATTCACTGAGGAAATAGAATTACTGATACACTCACATACTGAGTATTTATTAATATATAAATAATATATGATGTATACAAATTCTCCGACGATATATATACAAGACTACGGTGGCCCAGAGGTGCAAAACACAAACGCAAATTCAAACACAAACGCAAATTCAAAAACATAAACGCAAATTTGAAAGCACGAACGCAAATTCAAAAACATAAACGCAAATCATAACAGCACGAACGCAAATTCAAAACACAAACGCAAATCCAAAACACAAACGCAAATTTCAAAACACAAACGCAAATTCAAAACACAAACGCAAATTCAAAACACAAACGCAAATTCAAAACACAAACGCAAATTCAAAACACAAACGCAAATTCAAAACACAAACGCAAATTCAAAACACAAACGCAAATTTCAAAACTTAAACGCAAATTCAAAACACAAACGCAAATTCAAAACACAAACGCAAATTCAAAACACAAACGCAAATTTCAAAACTTAAACGCAAATTCAAAACACAAACGCAAATTCAAAACACAAACGCAAATTCAAAACACAAACGCAAAACTAAAAACAAGAACGGGGAACGAGGACTGAGAATCTCCGGAATCTTTAAAACCCGGAACGAGAAACATGTAAACAGAAGGAGGAATAAAATAAATCCTGTTCTAAACAAGTTGTGTCACTCGATACCAAATTTTTCGAATAAAAACAGTCAATTTATGATAAATGAGCCTGTCTCTTGAATTCTGTCGTTGGAATTTTGCAGATTCGGTCTAAAACGTGAAATAATTATATTTGAATATAGCCATGCTACTACGCACGCAATTTGTTAAATCAATGTCAAGTCTAAAATATCGTGAAAATCAAGCGTTATTAGAGTGCTTCTTATCCAGGCGAAATATTAGACCATCACCGAAGCCCCATTTTCTCTAACAAATGCCTTTTTTCGCCTCATCGTGGTCCTTGACCTCGCTGTCTACCCAAGGACATGGACATGAAATGACTGAAATGATTTCTTTTGTACCTACTCCATTGTGTTAAGGTGCAACAAGTATGAACTGCACTTGATGAGCATGCCATAGAAAATTTCCAGTCAGCAGTACATAGCTAGGGACCAATAAAATTCGGCACATGATATTGCACTGCATGAAAACAAAAGAAATCATTTCAGTGTTTCTTTAAGCTAAACTCCTCACACAAATTTCAATCCCTTTACACCCATGCAAATTAATGTGACAGCTCAACAACCCTAAGCTAAATGACAATTGAAATATCATTGTACAACAAAGTGAAGACTTGCCAACCTCAGACCGGAAAACAAATAGCAAGTGACAAACCAAGTGCTGCGTTCTTTGGTGTTTCGTTTGACATCTTAAATAATTATACATTGCATCTTCGAAGAAACCAGACTTCGATTCATAAATAAACTTAGACAGCCGGGAAATATTATATCCCAGACTCCCAGATATTGCAGTTTTGTTATAAAATGAGTTATGTTATAAAGTGTTTATGGATTGGCTAATTGCACTGGGATAGAAAAGGGGCGGTGTACAAAAAACATAGCCAAACCCGGCAGGTGGTCTTTCGCTGTCATCTGCCCGAATTTAGGAACATAACCCAACCTGATAGTCAAGGACAGGGTTGTTGTCACATCTGCCATACGTGCCCATATACCATTGAGTGAAACTTGTTAATCAGGTTTATCTCTTTTCAGTGCTAGTAAAAACGAGGCTAAATACAACTCGAAACAAATTATATATAGCGAGATCAGTTGAAGAGGCATATAGTTCTTGTTTAATTACAACAAAGCTCTAGCACATCTGGATCAAGGCATAATTTTGCAAAACGTGAAGTTAGGGTTATGCATTTCTTTTGTTTGCAGCATCTGTCTTCAATCTCCTGTGGCATTGGTCTACATTTACGACATGTGCACCAATCTGGCACAGATTCCAGTGTGGGATGTCGGTCATCTGACTGAGAGTGGGAAGGGTTCTGACTTTGAGAAGGGTTTGTACCAGAGCTCAATGTGTCAACATTAGGTTCATAAAATGGGCCTAATATTTATGCATCTTGATCATCTTCATCAAGGTCATCTTCCATTATTAAAAGTGTGTCAATGTAGTCCATACTACCAATACCTCTTCGCAGACTGCGAATAGCTAGCTTTGTGATTGATCTCATAACCTTTCGAACGGTGCGAATACATCTTTCCCACACTCCGCCACGATGTGAGCCCGCAGGTGGGTTAAACGTCCACTTGCTACTTCTTTAGACAAGAAAATCATGAATCTGAGAGTGGTTTCACTTTTCAACTTCCTCGCGAAGTTCTCTTTCTCCCTTAACGAAATTCCCCCCATTATCTGAACGCATTTCCTCTGGCTGGCTTCGCCTCGCAATAAACCGTCTCAACGCGTTGATGAATGATTCTGTATCTAACGAACTTGCTACTTCAATGTGAATGGTTCGAAGTGTCAGACACGTAAATATGATGCCATAACGTTTCGCTGTCCCTCTACCACGCCGAATCTGGAATGGCCCAAAGCAATCGACACCAGTAAATGAAAAGGGTGGCTTTGCCGGCGTAACGCGGTCTTTCGGTAGACTTGCCATTTTCTGTTCTACGGCCGATGCTTGTCTTTTCTTGCAGCTAACGCATTCGTTCAATATTTTCTTTATGGTTGATCTTGCCTTTATGATCCAAAACCTTTGACGGATTAAGGATAAGGTGTATTCCAAGCCTGAATGCCCGGAGATGTAGTGATAGAATCTGATCAGCAGATAGACTATATGATGTTTCTTGGGTAGTATAGTTTGGTGTTGTGCGTCGCATACGATTGGTGCTTGTTGGAGACGACCTCCAACACGGATTAGACCATCTTTCATGATTGGGTCTAGTTTGACTCAAGTACTGGACTTGTTAAATGCGCTTGGATGACTTGTTTTACTTGACGCAGAGAGCCTTTGAAGACGACGGATGTCTTTTGCAACACAACTTGCTTGTACACTCTTCAAGATCCAATTTTCTGCATTTGCCAATTCTCTCAAGGAAAGTGGAGATGTTCGAATATCTGTGGCTCGATTCGGCTGTCGGCGACGTATGTTTGTGATGAAGTGGAGCATCCATGCAATCACTCTTTTTAATCTTGTCCAGGATGAAAACCTTTGGATTATTTAATTATTTATACTTCCGCAGACGGCTCTTGCGCTGGTTTCGGTGAATTGCTTGCACATACAACCGAGCTCTTCTTTATCTCGAGATCGTCGTCAGGTACGTTTGAACTTAGTTCAGCTGGTCTTTGTGGCCAGGATTCGGTAGATTTGCGCAAAAAATCCGGACCTTCAATCCAACGTTGTAGAGAATTGGCTGAAACTCCCCTCGACGCGTCATCGGCAGGATTCGACTCCTTAGTGTCAACGTAGTTCTACTGATTGGGTGTAGAAGCATCGTGTATCGAAGCTATTCGATTAGCAACAAAAGTTTGAAAACGTTTCTCTGTATTTTCTATATAACGTAAAACGCATGTACTAGAAATACGATTCATCGATAGGTAGAGTAAGTTCATTCTTTACCATTCTTTCTAATTTTGTTGAAACAACGGCAGCTGACAGTTCCATTCGTGGAATCGTTACAGGTTTAATGGGTGCCAGCCTTGATTTTCCCATGACGAATGAACACGTCACTTCACCCGAGCTGTTTTCTGTCCTGAGATACGTTACTGCCCCGTATCCATTCTGAGAAGGATCAGAGAAATGGTGAAGTTGAATGGAGTTGATCATGATTCCTGGCTGATTCGCAGCTTTTGGTTTAAAACAACGATTAATGGCTAACTTTTCCAAGTTAGGAAGATCAATCAGCCACGCTTGCCAACGGTTTAGATGTTCTTCAGGGATCTCGTCATGCCAATCCAGCTAAAGATCTTGCAGAATCAGTTTTGCAATTAGTATGAAAGGAGCAGCAAAACCCAAAGGGTCGGAAATAGACGGAACTAACGACCGAAAGTATACCTCTCCTGGTGGAGGGTCGATCCTTGATAACGACTGAGAAGCCAAATTTGTCGGATGACACATTCCACCCGAAACCAAGAGCTCTTTCGATGGAGGTTTGATCGAAATTTAGGTTCTTTACTTTTGCCGCTCTTTCAGATTCCGGTACCGATTCTAGAACTTTCTGACGGCTTCGTTTTCGTCAGCGACTGATTTTAGACAATCATCTCCGTAGAAATTGCGTCGAACGGTCTCAACTGTTTTCTCATCAAAATGTTCAACGTCATCTGTTGCCGTTT